TCCAGTTCTCTGTTAAGCTATATAAATAATTTGGCAGGTATCAATTTTGAAGATTACTTCTATGATCACTTGGATATTGGAGATATGGCTTTGCCAAAAATGTAAAAAATATGTCTAAACTACATATTGAACTGTGACGACAATGTGATCTTATAATCATATAAACTTGCTTAACTGAATGAGTGCATAGCGGAATTTTGCTTTCTTGAAAGAGCGACATAAAATTTTTGCACGATTAATTAACGATTAAAATTAATGAAGTAAAAGTTTAAAATTTTTTAATCTTCAGTTGATTATTTATTGTGAAGTATACAAATTGCAAGATCTGAAGTAGAAAATGACCGGGTCGAACTTACAAAAAAGAAAATTAAGTACGTCTTTTAATTATAGCCGTTTCAATAAAGAGAAACTCGCAAAACTGTGTGGCGAGAAGAGTTGGGGACCCATATTTATCGGCGCCATAAATGGCACTAAAATCGAAAATATGCCTGGAATGGTAGGACCGCTTAATCGGGGCCGCCGCGAACCTTCGTCCGGGAATAATAAACGCGTTATTACGATTACCCTTAAGTGCCGACCTTATTTTTCGCCCCTCAAACTCTCCTCTCTATCTTTCTCTTGCGCTTTAGCCGGACGAGTTTGAATCCGAGGCAGCGAAATAGTTCGATTAATATTGCTATGGTTAACGACCGTCCGTATCGTAAAATATAGTTGTTAATTCGCCGAGCGCTCCCAAGTTCGTTTCCAAAAGGAAAAAAATACAAAACGTGAAAAATCGACAGAAGAAAAAGAGAAAATGCCGCTTAAGATGCCGCTGAAGATGCTTTGGGATCGACGACTGTCAGCTGGACCAGATAGTTTAATCTGGTAATGCTTACGAGAATAAATTAAATCGAATATCTTGGTGCGTCCGAAAAATTAACAACACATATTCCTTTAACTAAAGCCGTATTTTTCTTTTCTTATTATAACCCTTCTTTTGGAGGGTACGCGTTGTTTTTGAAAACCGAACCACGAACGATAACAAGTAGATAACGTCAAATTGATCGCGGCTAATGACTGGAGATGAATAAAGACCACTGACAGGACCGTCTTCGACCATCTCTTTTGTACCTTTTTTTCTTTCGGCGGAAAGGAGAGACTTGTAACTTGTCACGACGCGCCTTAAGAGGATTCACTCGAAACGGATTGATTTTGAAATCGGGGCGACAAACAACTTGATTTCTTAAAACAGATCAACCTTTCAAAAAACAACTCATCTCTTAATTTTATTAAGTTTATATATCAAAATGTGTTTTTCACAAATTTTTTTCAAAATATATTTGTTACCCAAATTAATTGACATTAGATAATAAAAAAGATCTTCCTTGTATACGTTTAATTAGTGGAATTCGTAAACGTGGAGCCCACACAAGACACACCACGCGGAGCGATTACGATGATGATTCTCATCAATCATCCCACTTGTCACCCTTGTTCCCTTTGGCTGGGGCAATCGTACCAACCGTGAGAGAGAGCCGAAGCGTATTAATACACTTCGTTATTCGGATCTTAAAACCAACAAGAACCCTCTTCCCTCCTCAACCTTGTCCGTGTCGGCGCAAAAGGAACGAGAGTTTGAAACGCGGGCGGCCAATTTCTATGTACGAAGAAACGTTTGAGTCGTTAACGAAACCCTCGTTAAGAGAGGAATTATTGAGAACATTCAGGATAACTAGATGAACAAGTTTTTCTAGTTTTCGATTACTGTCAATAAATAAGATTACTTTTATTTTTTAGTTTTAAAAACCATATCTTTGTTTTGGGAAAAACAAGATGATCTTTAAATACTCGAGTTTCTGTTGTAACTGAATCTTGCAGTTTTTGTGAATTTCGGGGTTAACCAATATAGATTTTTGCGTTTATAATTCCATAGAAAGAGTAAATAAAGACTGTGTTGATAACATCGCCTCTTTGCAACATACAATGTTTTTACGCAAAATTGATGGTTATAAGTAGACTGATCATGGCTTGGAGCTTTATTTTTAATGATGAAGAAGAAACTCTCCAAAGCCTTCTAAGTATTTTTCTTGATGTTACAATATGAAGCACCAATTGGGGGATACATAAATTAGATTGAAGTTCATTGAGTGTTCTTAACATTGGTTATTAGTGAACCATTCGCATGCAGTAAGTCCTCGGAATCCAGGAAAGCAATGCCAAATTCTGTTGGGCATATAGCCTAATCCTACGATTAGGGAGCTTCTCGTGTAGACACTGATACAGTTGTTGAAGGATGAAGTTACATCAATCTTCAGTTATAGGAGTAACCACTCTGTAACATGCCTAGGTGGGAAATACCCGTCACAGTATTTTCATGGAAGAAACAAAGCTCAGTTACTTTAGTCTTGGATTCTGCGCAGAACACATTCAACTTTTTTAGAAAATCCCTTTCAAGTTGCCAAATTCCATAATGATATCTGCCTATATTTGAATGTTGTGATAGTTCACCTTATCATTTAGACGAAATGTTCGGATCACTTTACGTGATTGTCAGTGACCGTTTGCTAGTTGACTTTTAGAAGAACGCACAAAGCTTTACATAACTTCCGTCACCGTTTCATCAAAAAGCTGTGGTTTTTCGATACTTTAACGATTAGTAATGGAACCTGAATACTTGAATTACTGGTATCATTGTAGAATACTTTGATATACTTCGTATTGTTTTAGAAAAAGCTTGCACAGTTGACATTTTGAATGATGAAGTAAATGCGCAACTTGGACATGTAAAACGCAACTCATAAGCGGGCATTTTGAATATTTCTTTCTCCAACCGCTTGTCCTAATAGTCATTTCAAATAACATTTTATAACTTTTCATCCAAATTCCATGGAAAGTTTAAATCATTAATCAAAAACCTTGACTACCTTCTTATACTATTTCCCTATTACATAGTTAGATTTAGTTATTTGGAGCTATTTAGCTCCAAATAGCTAAATTAAGCTGTTCATAAAATTAGTGATATAGTTAAAGTATAGGAGGGAGCATCAGCAAAACTGCATGAGAATTACACTTAATAAGATGAATAAAATTTTGGGATGGATTGTATACAGTAAACAAGCCTTATTCTGCAGAGAAGTAGAGAAAGAATTTTATGAGAAATGCTAACATACAATGGAAGAACATTGTCATACAAATTTCAATGCTTTCAGACATAAATTAGACAAAAATCTCCTGCTACGGAATTATGTTCAAGTTTGCATAATATTTTTTCATTACATTTACTTTGAATGATGTAAAAATGATGTTCTCACAGAGCATTGATTTTTTTGTGAATCTGTATGAAAAATAATAGCACAAGAAAGTAAAACGAAAGTAGCAAATCTTGAAAATCTTAAATATATATTAAAAAATTATGAATTCTTGTAATTAGGTTCTTTAAAATTTCTTACTTTACATATTTCTGGCATGATGAGCCATCATCAGGATTCCGCTAATTATACTCAATTTTGCAAAGATGTTGTTCTCGTTAACATATTAAAAATGTTTGTGTTTGAAGAAAATATAGATAATGATAACATAGATCTGCAAGATTTTGTTGTCGGTCAGCTAAGAGTCATTTCCGAAGTAATTTTCTGCGTAAAATCATAATTCGAGCTCAGAGTTGGATCATCAAGTCAGGATTTTGAGATATCTGAGGTTATGTACTACAAAATGGCTTTTTTGGCTACTTTTGAAGTTATCTACAGAATATACGTTCTATTACATCATTCAGTCACTGAATGAATCCTTGCCCAGATTGGGTTCCAGCAACAGATTGTTTACTGATGTTGATTATTGTTATTACAAAATCTTGGTGGGTTGTCCAGAACCTTATGTGCTGCTTACAATTTCGGTTCGATATAATTTTTTTTCTTGGTAAACAATTTTCAACCTCTCCAAAATCTAGACATAACGATGAGATTTTTATAACGAAACCAACATACTTATAAAAAAATCCTTTCGGTTTAACATTTATTAAATGAAAACTAATCTTCTTTTTTATATTAAAACGTTAAAAAGAAAAAAAAAATATTTTCATATTTATTTTTTTTAGTTCCTCAAAAAAGTTCTTTTCAACCCCACGAATCTAAAAGTTATTATTTTCGTAACGTACACATCCCAACCCCATTTCGTATACAATCGTAACGCGATACGCAGACGTCGCGCAGTCATTTCAGTTCATGTTCCCATATTTACTTTTCATATTCAGCTTGCACAATGCCGAGTAACTCTGGTGGTAGTCGCTCAACGCTGGCTTACTCGTCAAAACCGGGGTGAAAACGAATGCGAGAAACTAGATACCACCACCACCCATGTTTTCCTCTACGCGAATAGCTTCCTCAATTTAACCAGAAGTTCTCAACAACAAAAGAACACCCTTATTATTAATTACATATAAAAATAGTTGGAGTTTATTTTATTTATTTGTCATGATAATTAAAAGACTATTTATTCGATATAACAATAGTTGTTTGAGAACTACTTGTTATAAAAAGCTTTTACAAAGTCAACTACTGCCCTATTTAAAAAGTAGGTATGTTTTGTGTATAAAAAGAAGTTCCGTGAATGAGAAAGTCATTTCTGCGATTGTGAATTGAATAGGAACGACGTCGTTTTTTTAAACGTTTAGAGACTTTGGAGTGGTTGGACTATTTTTGTTCCGAGTCGGTTTACATTTCGTTTTCTTTCGTTCCCAATAATAAAAAGGAACCGGGACACGTCGTTTACTCCTCGTTAACGATGAGACGGTAATTATTTCTGTTAATGAGGGTGGTATAGGTAACGGGGTTCGCGGGGGGTCTGCTTCCCCGCGGGGCTGCGAATCGCAGTACATAAATACTCTCTATTCAAACCCACCTTTACCAAACGAACAACGATGATGATGGGTTTCTTGTTATTGTTATGATGATGGTGCCTTTTAAATGACTTAAGTTATGATTGATTTTGTTAATTTCAGTTTTCTTTATCTTTTGTTGCAGATATTTCGAGGATGGAAAAAAGTCCGTTGCTGGCAAATGGATATAACCATCCTCCTCATCTGGGTCACATGCAATTTATGCAACTCCCGCATCCGGCCGCAGCGGCGCACTCCGCGCTGCTATCGCCAGCGATGCCCCATAATCTAGGAAGACCCGATGGGTCTGTTATTAAGAATCAAGGTATGCCATCGATGGAAGCGATTGCGAGGTGAGTTTATGTATTAACTCAGGCATTGAATTTCGAGTAATCGACTCAAATGATGTTCGATTCAATTGAATCCTTTCAATGTATAGTAAAGTTTTCATTGCTTTATTCTGGTTTCTAGGACATTTTATTACAATAGAAAATAATAGAATTATCCTATATTAATCAAATTGGATTTGAAACATTTCTACTATATTCTTTAATTTTTTTGATTCCACTTTTAAAAATTTGTATCCTCCATCTGGATCTCTCGCAGACTACCTACCTATTAATTAAAGCGAATATATTGAGGGGGAATACTAATTATGTTTTCTTTTATTTAATACATGTTAATTATATTCAATGCAATGAATCAACCTGCTCAAAAAGATTATTTTATGTCATAATATCATATAAATAATATTCCAATATAATATAGACACAAATCTTTTGTATCCGTATTCTTGATCTCTTATTTTGTTAGAGTTTATTGACCATCACGTTGTATTACGACAAGAAGAATAAATGATGCAAACGAAAGACCTTTAAGTAGTAAGGTAGTAAGACTTTTAGAAAAAGCCATTCCAAGTAACATTGAAAACCAAGTATTTTTTGATCATTTTTTAACTAGAGATAGAGTTATAATAGATCTAGGAAACATAAAACTGAAGGCGACAGGAACAACTCGTAACAATAGAATAAAAGGTTGTTTAATGCATTGCAAAAAGATATTTTGAAAAGCAGCTTGGCAAAGACGGCGGAGTTCTTACGATCCTAGAATTACAGTGATTCGTTGCTATTTTAGAACCATAATAATTAAATATATCAATAAATAGGTTGAGTCGAATTGTTGGACAAACAAATTTCTTTATATGGAATAAGAACGTGTTTTAAGACATTTTGGTGAAAACAATTTTTGGGTGTCGCATTTAAAATATTTAGTAACTCCATCAAATTACCCATCCAGAAAAAATAGTTCAGCTCTCGAAACAAAATGTAATCTTCGGAATCCTGGACCATACAAATCCTAAGAGTAAGTGCCTAAGTTCAGTTTGACAGATTTCTTCTTCTTCTTCAACGGCTCGACCGTTATTGGCCTTCAAAAATTTTGGCCTCCAAGCATATTTCTAAGTAGTGTTCCTCGTTTTCGGCCTTCCCCTAGGTTTCTTTCCTTACAATTTGTTAATCCAGTTGCTTCAGTATTTTCCCCTCCTTTCTCGTGGCCATATCTCCTGAAAACTACAATCTTTGCTTGTTGATGTAGTTTGAGAGTATTGCTTCCTCGAAGTAGCTGTATATACAGGGTGATTTATAACATATGGAGCAGACTAGAAGAGTAGGTACGTCTGATATTCAGTAAAGAACAATTAAAATACTTGTCAACGCCATCCTCATTTTTGAAGGAGCTTTAAAACTAGACACTTTATTGTTTCAGTAGCTTTGGTATTTTAGATAATACGTAATTTGTTAAAAGAAATAATAGATGTTTTAAATGCAAAATTGCGAAATTTCTAAAACAAGTATTTAGCCACTCGCAAAATTGCAGCCGTAAAGGATAATCAACGGGAGTCTAACGGGAGTACAACAAACATTTACACCAGTAGACCATTACTTTTCAATGTACAACAAACAAAGTTCTGGGATACATCGAGATGGTGAAAAATTTGCCGAGTACTAGTACTTGGATCTGCATCAACTATATCTAGAATTTCTTCTTGTACATTCACTCCATGTCCATCTGTCTTCCCCGCTGAACTAATCGAAGAAAAATGTTTTCAGAAGGCATCTGTTTTCTCCAGCGGCTCCATAAACAATAAGCATATCTACGTATTCCTCGTTACTGTAAATTGTCATTGTACTTTTGAATGACATTGTTTATTAAATAATGTTAAATGACATGTCCATAATGCATTGTCATAAATGACAACGTCATTACCGCTACTAGGAAACTAAATCAACTGGATTAGCAGCAATAAAAACATGGTATAGTAGACGCCAGGAGAGCTGGCAGTAAATCATCGTGTTCCGCTCTTACAAATGCCATACGTAGCTCACAAACCGCTAGAGAGTAATGTGTGTTAGAAAGAGATAGCATTAGTTTAATATGTCTGCTGTACAATTCAAATGGCCCCGTCGAAAAAGTACGTCTGTTCTTCTAAGGGATGTAACTCTATAATTATAACCTAAAATCGAAACGTCTTGTGAGCGTTGTCATGAATCTGTTAGTGTTTTCACAAGCCGAAAATGTTTTCTTTGAAAGGAAAATCATTAAATAATAACTTTGACAATGTTTGACATATAACCTCCATTACTAACATAACCTACATTAAATGTATGTGGTGAAATAATCTAAGTCGTACGTCCATATCTTGATTCATACCATTTTTAAGCGATCTGTCACTGCCAGCTCTCGTGGTTTCTACTATATCAGCGGTTCTCCACAAACAAACACCAGTTTTTGAGTTTTAATAAATTTTTAAATAGCCATAAGTGCCCTATTACAAAGATTTTGTTATTTTTGTTAATTATACATTGTTAAATAACCTTGAAATAGTCGCAGTTTGAATTTAAACGTAGTGTATATAAATACCATATATGGAACTAAATGCTCGACCATTAATTCAACTTTCACGTTCTATATCTTTGTGATTATTAAGTTATGGTCAAAACATTATTAAGAAAATATCTTCAATTTGGTCTCTAGTACCTACCTACCCGTTTTAGTTTGCTCCGTATGTTATAAATCACCCTGTATAGTTCCTGGTTATATTATATTCTTCATATATTAGGCCTATGCCAGACTCTTCCTCTCAAAGACCTCTATGGTGTTTGACAGTTTTTGCGTCAGCGTCCAGATCTCACAACCATATATTCTTATAACCCTTGTTGGCTTTATTTTCTTCGTATTTCCTCAGCTTGGCTACCATCCCTAGCCAACTATATTCCAAAATATATGAATTCCGTCACCAGCTTAATGTCACCTTCGGCGTCATCACCTACGACTCTACCTGACGACCTACTTTGTAAAATTACTTTTGCTTCCTCTGTATTAGTTCTGAGCTTGGCTTCGGTTTGTTCTTCTGCATCCCTTCTTGTTTGGCTTAATATGTTGATCTATACTGATTTATGCATTAGTAGATTTGATCTACCTAGTTTCATTTTTCGTATCGCATATTACAATGCTAGCTTAAACAATGTGGGTGACTGCCCAACGTTTTAGTTTTAGTTTATGCGTACACAAACTTGTGTATTACTTAATGTTACTCGTTTCAGTCTTATAATGTTCAACGGTAATTTTTACTCATTCACGATTCGATATAAATACTTCCTGTTAATGAAACCATATTTGCTTAACAGTGTGTTCTACATAAGCATATATACAGTGTGTTCCCGGATGGGTGAAACGACTCTTATAAAACGTAAATTTTTATCGGGGGTAAATACACAAGAGCTTGACTTTTAATCGGATAATTTTATTTTTACACGAAAGTTTTGTTACCATGGAAATAACTCGAAATTAAAAGTATGATGAAATCGCGACAGCTTTAGCTGGAGCGATTTTATCTTTTGATTTTGATTGAGAGTTATTTCCAAAGGGTAACAAAACTTGAGTGAATTAAAAATAAAATTATCCTGATTTAAAATAAAGCTCGAGCGTATTTTAGGGAGATTAATACAACGAGGATTGCACAATTCATCGACAATTTTTAATTATTTATTAAGTATTTTTGACTTAATTATAGTTGTCAAAAATGTGACAGGTAACCAAAGTATATATATGGTAGTCGCGTTTTTATCAGTTATAAAATATCACGTGTGATTTATTCAGTTGAAAAACCTAGGTAACTTTTATCCACTTAGAAATTCACGTTATTGGTCGAAATTTTAAACGATCGTTACTCTGATTGGTTGTATATTATTGGAGTGCATTAATCGATATTAATTTTCATTTTTTGGGGTTTAGCTCTGCTTGATTAAAGACTAATTTTAAACATATTATCAATTTTTAAAAAACAAGCCTTGACAGTGAAAGAAAAACTCTTTTTGTGGCAGGTAAAGTACCTTTTCTTTGGCCGCTCTAGGTGCTTTTCGTGATACTTTGAGCGGCCGAAATTATTTCTTCCAAAATGCTACCGCTCGATATCACGTTGATATAGAACAAATAAAGATGTAAAGAAGTGTTGTTCATGATACATACTTTGGGCGTCCGACGTCTTCGAAGTCGGCCGAGATTATTTCTTCCAAAATGCTACAGCTTGATATCACATTGATACAGAACAAGATAGTTGCAGCATTTTGGAAGAAACAATCTCGGTCGACTTCAAAGACGTCGGCTGCCCTAAGTGTTTGTGATACTTTGGTCTATGTCTTAACCTTCCCATCCCAAAATAATTAATTTCCATGAAATCCCAAAACTGGGTCAATGGTGGTGTTAACATGATTGGGACACACAAATTGTTTGCTTCGTAGTTTGGTACCGATTACAGGATTTTCGTGTCACACCGCATTTGGAAATCTACATCCATCATTTTCAATTTGATTGCACTTTTTAGAGGTATAGGCTCCTTTCTTCATCATTGTCTTTCTCATGGTACCCTCCAAAGCGAGCTTTTTAAAGCAATTCGTTATATCCACTTCCATGACAATGCTGCATTAAAGTCTTGACATCTCTTGATAGTTTATAGTAAATTTCTTTTATATAACTAACAATAATTTCAACGAAATTTTCCTCTTAAATTCGGAACTTTATTCACAATGCATAATTAATTTTCGAGTAAACACAGTTTCCAGTTTGGACATTTTGTGAACCCTCATCAGTTTGTATTTGATCGGGTTGAATATTGAATGTCTCATGGTCGTGATTTGCTGTTATTTATTTTAGCTTTTATTCCATGTATTGAGACCCTGGGGGCTATTGCGCCTATATTATAATTCGATCGCGGTACACACCGCCGCTCGCAAATAAAGGAATACCGCGTCCGATAGTTGTGGCCTGGACAAGTCGAGCGAGTAATATCGATCGCGAATCACGATTAGATCGTGTTTCTTCTCTGCGAGTTAACGCGGCGTTATTTATTAAGACTGCGGTGAAATTACGCGGTGTCCGGTCAAGGCGTGTCTACACTTGTATCGACTTAAAAAAATTTTTTTTGAATAATCCTAGAACCGTAAGCGCTTTAATTATAACTTGATTGACAGTTGTTTACTGTTTTATGCAAATGTTTTACGCACGATTGAAAATTAATGAAAAATCATAACATTATTACTTTCATAATTACTTTTAATTTATTACGTGACAAGGATTTATTTATTTACATTTTAATCATCATTACTCGGAAGGAAATTCCATGTAAATAATTTTATCTAAGTTTTCCCACGTTGGAGAAGTTTTTAATAAGAAAATCAATATCGGTGTCATGTTAAGCTGTGGTAATGACAGACAATCGCGCCATCTCTGGAGTAAAAAAATTTATATAAAGCTAAAGTTCGATTATCACCTCGTGACACGTATACGGCAGTAGAGAGATCATAAAAGGTCGTTTCTCGACGACAAGTCGATCGCGGCCGCACATTAATAGTTGATAAATTGGCGGCATAAATTTTCAATTAGCGTCGGGCGAGCGCGTACCGGCCTAATTAGCGAAACCATACATCATTTGGGGGCCAGACGGACCGGAACGGTCGATACAGAGAGGACCTCCTCCTTTTGCTAAGAGATCGCCTCGGTCTCCTGTGTACTCTTAAGGGGGCCCTAATCTCGCGATGCAAAAGCGAAGAGTCCCGGGACGGGGCACAACACAACAGTTGTTTACACGGGCAGTTCAAGTCGTCATTATCATTTTCAGCGCTCTCCCGGTAATTAAAATGCAAATCCGGCCAGTTAGATGCGTGTACACGTCACCGAGGAGCACCTTGATTAATTCCCAGGTAGATCTCGGCCTTACTCGAGTTGCTTTTGCTGTTGATGCTGTGATGCGAGAAAGAGAGAGAATTCCATGACCCCCTTTTTTGAAGGCAATTTCCCTACTGCCACTTATTCGATTTTACAATGTTATAACTACCAAGAAATGTTTCATACCCTTTTTTTTGTTAAAATGATAATTATATCTTTGTATTTCGTTATTTTCAGGTCAGGAATTTGGGAAAATTGCCGAGCAGCATATGAAGATATAGTAAAACATTTAGAAAGGTAAGAATGAAATTTTTTTGATACAGTAATTTATTTTTTATTGGACATTATGTTGTCTCACAAATCATTGTGTAGATAAACCTAGGTTTAGAACATCACGAATGTAAACTCACTGGGATTTGACTCCGTGACATTTGACAAATTCTGACACGAATCGGTCCGCGCGGTTCGGTTCGTTCACTGATCCCCCCATGGGGAGGCTCTAAACGTCGCAATTTTGATTTGTCGCATGGATACGTCGGTTAATTAATGGAGGTGCGAGCTTAAAAGCTCAACCGTTAACCATTCGTTTTCGGTTCAAATTCCATTTTCGCCGACTGTTAATCTAATAGAGCGCGCCCCCTCGCGGAATTATCCGTGGTGGAGGGAGGGACAAAAAAAAAGAAGAAAAAGAAGAACGAAGTTAGCAGTCATTTGTCTGTCAGAGTCGGCCCCAGCTGCGAGAGACACGGCGCGCGGCATTTTAATTCGGTTATTGAACATATTTTTTGGTCGTCGAAAGACATTTTAAAAATCATCAGGGCGTCTACATCCTTCATCCCCCTACATCCCGAGGGAGGCAATAAGGGAACGCGACAAAAATTTAAGGGGGAACTAAATTACCTACGTTTTCTACTACATTTTTAGATGTCATCAAGTGAAACGGCAGATAGAAATGTTTTAAGTTGATTGAAAATTCTAGTTATTTAAACTAAAACTAGAAATAACACTAGCACTATCACTATACTCTATTTTTTTTAATTCGGAGAAGTAAAATGAAAAGTCACGTTTACACAGTGTAATTTTTCAAAGCTATTTTTTGGCTGGAGGTTTAAAATGAGAGAGGATTTTAAGTAAACTGTAGTAACGAATTTAATTTTACGAACAAATGCTTCTGGTTCTCGGTCTAGTTTTACACTAGTGCTATCACTAGAACTAACACAAGACCTGGAACTAGAATCATTCGGGTTTAACCGCACGTCTCTCAAGACGGCTAAACCTGAATGATTCTAGTTCTCGGTCTTGTGTTAGTTCTAGTGGCAGTGTAGGTAGCGTTAGTTAGCATAAGATATTACTATGTTGTATACAGGGTGATTCACATAAGAACCGACACAGAGCAAGGACATGTATAGGACAATAAATTAAGATGATTTAACGCAACTTATCTCTATACCAAGTTGTACCTCTGAGGAGTTATAGGCTTTCAAAGTTGGGTCTTAAATTTTTAAAACATTGAATATCTTCGTAATACATTAAGCTAGAAAAACCAAATTTGGTATACGTTATGAGTGTACCGAGGGTATTAATTGGTAGCAAGTTGAGACCAATTGAGACATTTCAAAGGGTTGATTACGGGTGATGGTTCCCTAAATTTTGACAGATTTTTTTAACCTTTTGGCGGATTTAATACATTACTACTTCATTTCATGTGGAATTTAATTCTAAAACTTTTTTTACTCTTACTATTTTTTAAAAAAATTGTTGTTTTCATAAAAAACTCAAAAAACTAAAGACGCGTATCTTGTTAATGCTACTTAAAATCATCGAAAATTCAGTAGTCGGCTGTGAAATTGTACGTAATTTGAGGAATAAACTGTTTATTATGAGCTAAAAAGACATCATCCATAAATAAATTTAGTTTAGACATAATAATTTTCTAGTGATAAAGAGAAAATCCCCAAAATGTCAAAATTAAGTACTTTTGATTTTAAAATCGATCATAACTCAAGAATGAAAAGAATGGTGATGACGAAAAGTATTTAGGAATAAATTGTTTATTATGAACTAAAAAGATATTATTGATAAACAGATTTTGTTTAGATGTAATGATTTTCTAGTGATAAAGAGAAAATCCGCATAATGTCAAAATTGAGTACTTTTGTTATCAAAATCGATCATTACTCAAAAATTAATTGTGATGGAGATAAGTTTTTTTGAAATAAATTGTTTATTATGAACTAAAAAGACATCATCCATAAACAGATTTGGTTTAGTTATAATGATTTTCTAGTGATAAAGAAAAAATCACCAAAATGTTAAAATTGAGTACTTTTGGTATTAAAATAGATCATAACTCAAAAATTAAAGGTGATGGAGAAAAGTTTATTTGAAATAAATTGTTTATTATGAATTAAAAGGACATTACTCATAAACAGATTTGGTTTAGTTATAATGATTTTTTAATGATAAAAAGAGAAAATCATCGAAATATCAAAATTGAGTACTTTTGATATTAAAATTGATCATAACTCAAGGATGAAAGGTGATGGAGAAAAGTTTTTTAGGAATAAATTGTTTATTATGAACTAAAAAAACATCATCCATAAACAAATTTAGTTTAGGTATAATGATTTTCTAGTGATAAAGAAAAAATCATCAAAATGTTAAAATTGGGTACTTTTGGTGTTAAAATCGATCATAACTCAAGAATGAAAGGTGATGGAGAAAAGATGGAGAAAACCTTGTCGTCAAATAAGTTTATACCCTATTTGTCAGGTTTGACGTACAATTTCATAGCCGATTACTAAATTTTCTCTTATTTTAAGTAACATTACGAAATACGTGTCTTTAGTTATTTAAGTTTTTTATGAAAACGACAAAGTTTTTAAAACATAATACGAGTAAGAAAAGTTTTAAAATTAAATTCTACATGAAATGAAGTAGTAATGCATTAAATCCGCCAAAAGGTTAAAAAAATTTGTCAAAATTTAGGGTACCATCACCCTTAATCAACCCCATGAAATGCCTCAATTGAGTTCAATTTGTTACCAATTAATACCCTCGGTACACTCATAACGTATACCAAATTTGGTTTTTCTAGCTTAATGTATTACGAAGATATTCAATGTTTTAAAAATTTAAGACCCAACTTTAAAAGCCCATAACTCCTCAGAGGTACAACTTGGTATAGAGATAAGTTGCGTTAAATCATCTTAATTTATTGTCCTATACATGTCCCTGCTCTGTGTCGGTTCTTATGTGAATCACCCTGTATTTTTATTGAACTAAAACTAGAACTAACATAAGACCTACAACTAAAAACATTCGGGTTTAGCCGTACGTCTTTTAAGACGGCTAAACCCGAATGATTCTAGTTCTTGGTCTGGCGCTGTATAACAATTAAAACTAGAACTAATACTATACTTAGAACTAGAATCATTCGGGTTTAGCCGTCTTGAAAGACGTACGGCTAAACCAGAATGTTTCTAGTTCTCGGTCTAGTGTTAGTTCTAGTTTTACACTATTACTAGAACTAACACAAGACCTAGAATTAGAATCATTCGGGTTTAGCCGTCCGGAAAGACGTGCGGCTAAATCCGAACGTTTGTAGTTCTCGGTCGAGTGTTAGTTCTAGTGGCAGTGCTAGGTAGCGCTAGTTAGCATAAGATATTACTATGTTGTATATTTTCATTGAACTAACACTAGACCTAGAACTACAAACTTTCGGGTTAAGCTATGCGTTTTTTGAAGAAATGAATGCTGTAAAAGCCTTCGTACTTATAATCCTAGTTAGGTTTGTTTAAAATTTTATTTACTAGTTAATAATATCTTAACGTAGATGATTGAGTAATACATACGAGGGCATTAATACGGTAATGTTTGGTGCAATTTCTGCAAACAATAGCCGTGGCCCAAACACATAACGTGGGATGTTTATGCGGGAGCGCGGCGGAATTGTATAAGCCGTTTCGACGCCGCGACGCTGCCGCCGCCGTTTCGACGCCATTATTAGATTTTGCACTACGGGGCCGCGTTCGAAATTATAGTTGGATACTGGTGCGCGGCGCCCCGGGTCACAACGGCTGACAGGCATAAAATATATAATCCAATCAAGTCGCCACAATGGAGACAATGGAGAATCAGAACTTGCGACAGATTTATACGCCAACCATTTCTATTAAGCGCGACAGCAGGTTGTTCGGGAATTAATAACGGCCGTCGTCGTCGTACGACCTGCTGAATGCCCTGGACTTTTATAGACTTCCAACACGCGCGTTCGTTTCCAAAATCTAATACTCTCTCGCAGCATTCCCCATGAGATAACAATGGAGATTTATTTTATGTGAAAAGGGATTCTTCTCTATATCTTTTATTGTCTAAGAAAGTAATACAATCTTTTTCTTATTTTGCTAATAAGATAATTTTTTTAATAAGAGAAAGTTAAAATCTATCAGAATTATAAAGGTCGTTAATATAATAACTATTTGCGCGCGGGTTATAAAGCCGATTGGACCATCCAATATACCGTTTACGAGACGTTTAATATAATATACATGTAGAAAATTAAGCAATTTATCGACGATATTTCCCGAGAATAGACCCCATCAATACTTGTCAGCAATTTTCGCCCGGATAGGTCGTAACGTTTAGCAGCGTACCGCAGCCAACACACTGCAATACCCCATTATTCCCATTAATATCATTAGATAAAAGGTTAGGGGCTTTCATCGCGCTTTCGCAACTCTCTACGATCAATAACAGAACGTGATTTGTCCTCGAGTTTCATAACTTTACTTCTATCTACCAAAAGGCTAATTCATTTTGCAGTTATAAACATTATTTTCGGCCATCCATTAAAAATTCATTAAAATTATCAAATTTGATCTTATCTTCATTAGTTTTTTACAAAAAATGATAATGTTATCTAATATTCATTTCTACTCTACGAGTTGTTTTTGTTTTCATTTTATAACGTTTGGACTTTGACTTGTTTGCAAATTAAAAATTATGAATTTCAAAATGTAACTGTTTTAAAATCAGAAATTACCCATCTGACTCAAATAGCATCAATGAGCGCCATCATATCTCCACCATATAGGAGTGTATCTAATCTTTTCCTAACATTAACGACATAATGATAAACGCATAGAATGTTTGACCTCCACATGAATAGACCAATCATTGGAAAAAAGACGCAAATGAGAACAATTGATGGAAAGTGCTACAGTAAGGTGACGAAAATCAATGCGCACCATTAAGTTAAAAGCGCTTAATGATATATGTAGCTCACAATGTAAAAA